CATCTGTGTTGGCTTCTTTGTCAAGTGGGCTCCCCCTGAGTGATAATAAAGACAATTCTCGGCAGTAATGGGTTTTTATTTTTCTACAGCTAGAATCCCAACAAAATGAGAATACCTCTTTCCCAATATATCCAGCAGAAGTCCTGGGGAACAATCTGATTGGCTTTGCTAGGGTCACATGTCTACCCCTGATTCAATCGCCTTGGTTCAGAAGAAAACCTAGTCAGGCCTGAGGCTTGTGTTCATTCCAGGAGCTAAAGGTAAAGTTAGCCCCCGCCCCCATAACCACATGGACTAAATATGGGAGGAATGTGGCACCTTATGGAGAAACTAGGCTGAAAAAAAATAATGCTGAGGCGTGTACCCCCCTTCTATGTCACATCCTTGCTTATGTCCAGCCATTAGTGATCATAGCATATCAAAGTCCAAAGGCAGTAAAATCCAAAATCAAATTGTCTCATCTCCTCTGAATTAAAGTTTAAAGGAAATAAAGTCCTCTGATTTCTTAGTTTGCCCATTCTCAGCTATAGTTGTTCCAGTAGCACCTGTGATCTAAGATATCTTTCACGATATCTTAGTTATCCCAGGCAAAATAAGTTATTCCTAGAATACAGTGTTCATTAATATTTGGTGATATCCAAAATAGAAAGGGAAGATGGGTTGGTTTCACCAGGATGCCAGGAAGTCTATGCAATTGTCCAAATCCATGGTCTGTGATTCTAATCATAGGAGCTATCTTTCCACGGGAATTAACTTAGGTACCATGCCTTTACCATAACTGGGAACCTTCTACACAAACTGTCTTCTTTCATACAGAATAGATTTGAGAAATTGCTGCCTCCTGGCAAAGTTGTACATTTGCAACAAGCACAACTCAAGCGCCAGCTCTTATCTGAGAATTCCTTCTTTCTTATCCACTGGACCCCAGTCAGTTTCCATTCCTCCGTGGAGCTCTGTGTTCTCAGCACTTACATGCTGCCCTGATGGTGAGTTTTATCTAGTAACACAGCCTCCACAGTATTGGGGGATGAGGGGGAGAGGGAGCAGGCAGTTGCTTTTTTAGTCCTACATTTTAGTGGCTGCCACCACTTCCCTTATTAAGGTCCTGCTCACGCCTCAGACACTTGCCCCTAATGAAAGTTGTCATTCCTTCTCATCTCCAGATTTCCAGACCGAAGCTGCTTTTGGTGCTTCCTACTGCTGAGCCCCTAGGGGCCGAAGGAAGACCAGTGCCTCTGCCTCATGTGACTAATAACGCCATTATTCCTGGCTCTCCTCTGATTTTTGAACTCTAAAGTTCTCAGACACATACCCTGAGGGCACTGGAAATGTCTACTTGCTTACTTTCTATATTATCTTGAAACTTTTTAATACTTTTGGTTTTGGAGATATATTTATAGGTAGGAATTTGAGATTCATTACCCCCTTTTCACGAGGACCCAGATTTGTTTTAAGTATTCGCAAGGGTTCCACAGAGATTTCAGGAACTCTATTTTGCCCCTAACTCTGGGGATTGTCCAGTTTGGTGTAAGCTAAGCTGCACAGCCCATTCCCCCAGCAAAAACCACTGGTGGGCGTGTAACCTACGCTAGTCCAGTCAAGATGAATCTCAGAACTTTTCTTTCAAAACTAATAGAAAAAAAATCACTCTTTCTCCCTCTACTGGTTATGAAAAAGGCAGCATGTGGCTGGCAGCCATCCTACAACCATAAGAGAAGTACATGCCAGAACTTGTATGCAAAAATAATTGCTTTACCAAAGTATCACCTTGGAGGATTATATACTTATTCCAAAAAATAATTCGCCAAATTAATTGAGACATTCCTCTTTGAGAATAGAGTTCCCAGTCTACAGCATATTCACACACACACACACACAGACACAGACACAGACACACACACACACACACACACACACACACACACACACACACACGAGTTCTGACAATTAAGTTCGCGAACTTGTTGCAATGGTGTTAGTAACCTTTTTTGATATCAGAGGTATTATTTATTATAAATTTGTACCAACTGAACAAACAGTTAACCAAGTTTACTATTTGGAAGTGCTGAAAAGGCTGCATGAAAACGTTAGACGACTTGAATTTTTCGCCAACAATTCATGGCTCTTGCATCATGACAATGCACTAGCTCACACAGCACTGTCTGTGAGGGAGTTTTTAGCTGGTAAACAAATAACTGTATTGGAATACCCTCTCTACTCACCTGATCTGGTACCCAATGACTTCTTTCTTTACCCAAAGATAAAGGAAATATTGAAAGGAAGACATTTTGACGACATTCAGGACATCAAGGGTAATATGACGACAGCTTTGATGGCCGTTCCAGAAAGAGTTCCAAAATTGC